CCCCAAAACCCCAAAACCCCTTAACCCCATCAGTAAAATTAATAATTATTGCAAATAATTTAATAATTTTAAAAATGAGTTTGTTGCATTCGATGAATTAAACTCCAGGTCCAGGTACCTATCAAGCAGAAAAGTATCGCTCTTAGGCCAGAATCTCATATAGTATGGCCAGGAAATACGACATAAAAGATAGAATGAATGTTCCTGGACCAGGTACCTACAAGGGCAAGAGCTTTCTAGACGACAAAAAACCAAATTCGTTTCCTCTAGCTATGAAAGATAACGTTTTAATCAACAAGGAGAGACTTAAGACTCCAGGACCAGGTGTCTATGAGTAAAAGACTCAACTTAGCAAAATAGGCCACTTCATTACTCCTGCTAGACCTATAACCGATAAAGGAGACAGAGCCACAAATCCAGGACCAGGCACCTACACCCAAATAGCTTAACTCTACAACAGAGGGAACAATATTGTAATAGGAAATGAGAGAGGTAGGGAGTAAGTTGATAAGGAAAAGAACAGCATTCCAGGGCCAGGGATTTACAAACCGGAGGCTTAAAGAGCCATATACAAGAGCACTGGAAATATACCGATTGGAAACGCTGCAAGGAAACCATTGTTGCATGAATCTGCTCTTGCAAACCCCGGTCCTGGAAATTACGATCAAAGTATATTTAAAAAAGGCACCAAGGCTCCGGCATATGGTATCGGTACTGGACCCAAAGAGGCAATTGACTTTTCTACTGCTAAAACTAACCCTGGACCTGGGATATACAGTTAAGCTGTCAAAAGAACAAAAATCGGAGCAGCCATTGGTAATGATACTAGATTCAAAGAAAAGCCTAGTGGAGTACCTGGACCAGGATCATATGCTCTCAAATCTTCCATAGGTGCTGTTGCTGCCTATCACGGAATCAATAGATAATGAAAATCATAAATATATAATCAAATTACTCTAACTAGTATATACCATAATATCTTAATTTCATAAAATTTGAATTACATTTCTCCACGGGGTTTTGGGGTTTTGGGGTTTTGGGG